CCAAAGAAAATCAGAACAGGAGCTCAAGCAGAGCAGGAACCTGGAGGCAGAGCTGATGCGGAGGTCATGATGGAGTGCTGTTTACTGGCTTGCTTCACATGGCTTGCTCAGTCTGCTTTCTTGTAGAACCCAGGACCGCCAGCCCAGGGGAGGCACCACCCACAATGGACTGAGCCCTCCCCCATTTGTTGTGGAATAATCATTTTGTACACTATGAAGATGTGTCTTTGCCAAGGTGCCTTCTGATTGTTTAATAATGAGTGGTCAATAGATGATAGGTTGGAGGTATAGGTGGGTATAGAGGACTCTGGGAAGAAGAGAGGCAGAGAACCAGTCAGACGCAGAAGTGTTGGACACAGAATGGAATAGAGGTAAGAGCCACATGGTAGAATACAGAATAATAAAAATATGGTCTAGTGTAAGTTCTAAGAACAAATTTGGGAAACTGAAGGAGACTCCTAGGACAGAGAAAGCTGGAGGAAACAAGCTCCATCGCGAGCAGAAGTCAGGAACAAATCCAGCCCTGGGAGCCAACCCAGTCCTGGGACACTGGCAGACCAGGATTGAGCCAATGACCTGACTCAGAGTCTGCGATCTCCACTGGAACCGAAGTGGGACTGAACCACTTACCTAAGACACAGAACAAGCTCCACTATGAGCAGAAGCCAGGAGCAAACCCAGTCCGGGACATGGGCAGATCAGTATTGAACCAGCAACCAGATCCAGAGTCAGCGATCTCTACCAATCAGGCCACAAGGACATGTGCTCAACCATGTTCATAGCAGCTTTGTTTGCTGGAAACAAACCTGGAAACAAACTAAATGCCCCTCAATCGAAGAATGGATAAGAAAAATGTGGTACATTTACACAATGGAGTACTACACAGCAGAAAAAAATGACAGCTTGAATTTTGCAGGAAAATGGATGGAACTAGAAAACATTTTGAGTGAAGTAACACAGACACAGAAAGACAATTATCACATGTACTCACTCATAAGTGGTTTTTAAACACAAAGCAAAGAAAGCCAGCCTACAAACCACAATCCCAGAGAACTGAGACAACAATGAGGACACTAAGAGAGACTTACATAGATACAATCTACATGGGAAGTAGAAAGTAGAAAAAGACAAGATCTCCTGAGTAAATTGGGAGCATGGGGACTTAGGGGGAGGATTGAAGGGGAGAGGGGAGAGCCGGGGGGGGGGGAGCAGAGAAAAAAATAGAGCTTAATAAATATCAATTAAAAAAGACTTCTGTAGGTGGCAGAGACTTTATTCTGAGGTTTTCATGGAACCTGGCAGCACAATGACCTTCTCTATCACACAAAATGACGTGTAAGGTGCCTTTAACATAGCAGGCATTGCATGGACCTCAATGTCATAAAATATGCATGAAATAAAAAAAAATTGGGCTGGTGGTGGTGGTGCACACCTTTAATCCCAACACTCAGGAGATAGAGGCAAACAGTTGTTTGTGAGTTCATGGCCAGCCTGGTCTACAGAGCGAGTTCCATGACAGGCTTCACAGCTCCACAGAGAAACCCTGTCTCAAATAACATAAAAAAGAAAAAAAATAATTTAGGAACAAGTCTAAACTTTAGGTCAAGCTTTCATACTAATAAGTCTTTGTGTTCTTATTTGGGAGTTGACTGGCAGGACAGAGAAGGATTCTTAACACCCATTGATCGCTAATTAAGAAATACCTTATAGGTGGAATTTTTTTTTTTTGTAGACCAGACTGGCCTCAAACTCACAGACACCCACCTGTCTCTGCCTCCCGAGTGCTGGGATTAAAGGCATGCGCCACCACTGCTCTGCACAGCTGGATCTTATGGAGGGATTTTCTCAGTTGAGGCTCCTTCCTCTCTCTCACGAGTCTAGCTTATGTCAAGTGCACATAAAACCAAGCAGTACAGGAATGATGCAAATCTTTGGTCCCATGACATCCTTTTTCTAGAAAGTTCACAACACTGCTAAACTGCCCAAACACTACCTGGGGATCAAACATTTAATGCCTGAGATCAGAGAAACATTTTATTCAAATCACCACAGTGAGCTGGGACTAAAATGTCTTTCCTGACCCTCAGTTTTCTTTCATCCAAAGCTCTTCCATATGTGACATCAGACGCAATTGTAAGCAATATTCAAAGTGTATGAATTTCAGGAGTGAAAAACCATTATTTTCACGTCCTTCTCCAGGGCCCCGCTATTCAGTTTCATGATTGTAAAGACTTTGTATCCTTCGTGCTGTGAAATGCTTCCAATCCGTTCCTTTCCCACATTTGATCTTTGAGGTTCAGATCTCAGTTGCTACGTTTCATAGCTATTCTTTCCTGGAGGTCTAGTGGATCTCTTAAACATTCCATGCCTTAAGCAGAACTTTCTTTGCTTCTTCCCCAGGTCTACTGCTCCCATTTCCTCCTTGTTGGGGCAGAGTCAATCACACCGTGAACCCCGAGTTTGCAATTGCATGATTAAATAAAATCAACCTTGGGTCAGGAGGCTGAGTGAGCAACTAGTTGACTGAGAGTGATCATAGAGCATCAGGGGGTATCCAGGAGAGATAGAGAGACACAGGAAGTAGGGAGAGATTTGGAGTGGCAGAGCCTTTTCTGGTTGGGCAGAGGGAAGCACCAGTCGTTTGGAGATGCCAGCAAGAAGAGAGGGTTAGCTAGTTGCTACTCAGCTTCTCTGAGCTCTTAGGTTTTCACCTCAGCCTTCGCTTATTTATAAATAGAACGATAGAGATTTAGTTAAGGCTACCTTTAGTGACATTGACAAAGCTGGTGCCTGTGGGAACAGAATTTTCTCCATGCTGCAGCCGGAGTGGCCAGGCCACTGCCAGAGAAGCCGGCTAGTAACTGCCGAATTGCAATTGCTGACTGAAATAGCAGGAGATGCAGGCACAGCCACTGTCTGGAAGTTAAATAACATTTCCTCACTTCTTACCATAATTTCAAAGCACTCTTCCAAATTAGGAGTGGTATTCTGTACTCTCCTGTAGGGAGCCGCCAGGATGTCGCCTTGGCGAGATAGTCCTACAGCCTGGAGGTATACAAATCCTTTGATGTTGCCGCACAGGCCAGAGTGTGCTTGGAGCCTTGTTTTACCTGTCCTGTGGCCTTGGGCCCTAGCAGAATGGCATCAACCAATCAGCATTCAAGCCTCTCCACTGTTTAAAAGCAGCTGCCTTTGGGCTCTGCTTCCTCTCTGGCTTCCTCTCTCTAGGTTCTCTAGGTTCTCTCTGGCTAATCTTTCTCTCGTCCCTGCGCTCTCTCATCTTTCTCTCTCTAAGCTTTCTCTTGTCCCTGCACTCTCTCTTCCCTTCCCCCAATTTTCCTCAATCAAGTGCTCCGAATAAAGACGTGATAGGGAAGGAATCTCGTTTTTCGTGGCATTCATTCCTGCTGGTCAGGAAGCGCGCCGCACTCTCCCCCAGCTTATATGCTGTTGATCAATTCATGCTTTGCATAAATATTCTGATTCTGATCACTTCTCTGCTTTTAGTGTTTAAGACACTAATCAAAGGTTCTACTTTACACAGCCCCCCTTTTCTTTCTTTCTCCCTCCACCCATGAGACAGGATTTCTCTGTATAACAGCTCTGGCTGTCCTGGAACTTATTCTGTAGACCAGTTTGGCCTCAAACTCATAGAGATTCTCCTGCTTTTCTGTCTCCTGAGTACTGGGATTAAAGGCGTGCATCACCACTGACCGGCCCCTTTTCTTGAGACACATTTAAATTCTGTTTTCCAAGATGGCCTCTGCCCTCTGGCCTCTGGTGATCTTTCTGCCTCAGCCTCCCAAGTAGATGAACCTGCGGGATCAGATATGGTGTGTTCTGCTATTATGTCTGTCTATATCCTGTGTCTGTCTGTCTATATCCTGTGTCTGTCTACATCCAAGCAACCCATGTGTTTCTAAAGCTTGCCACTCCTTGATGACCACCTGTCACACTAGTGTAGAGGGCCGCTGACCACCCCAGCCGTGTATGGGGTTTATTGGGAAGTGGTTTCTCAAAGACTAGGTGGGTGACAAACAGAAGCAAACACAGAGGCAGTTTGAATCTGAGTGTATTTTGCAGCTCTCAAACAAGGGTTTTTATACAAGAAGAACAGGTATTACAATTCTTAATTGATGTGTTCAGTGAAGCAGTTACAAAGAACAATTATCATGATCACCTGGAACAGGAAGGCACAAAATCAATCAGGTGTTACATTTCCCAACAGTGGGTTCAAAAAACCATTTACAAATGAACCAAATAACATAGTAATCACTAAACAGAACAAAATACAAAAAATCGCTTATGGTTAATAAAGTTTCATGTGTAATTCTTATCTAACATCTAGCTTTTGTCTTATTAAAAATCCTCAAAGTTCAATTTAAAGCAATGCTTTCTATACTATCATGTCAAAGCCAACCTCATCTACACACGCACAGCCATACAAATTCGTATATTGTTGGGAGGATATTTTATCAAGGTATTATTTTGCAATCATGTAAATGATTATGAAGCAAAGTGTTGAATCTCTTAGAAGAGGTCATGCCCAGTAACCCCATTTCAAGGGGATGGCTTCTTCTCGGTCCAGGCTATCAGGAACATCTCGTAAATATTAAAAGGAAATAGAAGCAGACAAACTGCCATGAGAACTACAGCTCAATACTTTCTCTCCGGCTAGAGAATTCCACAACCGGTTCCAGGAGACCTCCTCCCTTTGGAGTCTAACGCCTCAGTCTGTGGAACTTGTCATACAGAATCTACTGGGGTTGATGTGGCAGTGGAGGGCTCACAAGTAAAGATCTGCGCAGGGCTACTCAGAGGTTTCTGGCAGGGCTGACCTGGCTGAGGTCCCACTCCATCGCATCATCCAGGTTGCACGGGGAATCCCGGCGAGGGCCACCGCAGGCGCAGCCGGTGTCGCGCGGCCTCCAGCCGGTGGGCGGCGCTGTGGGGAAGCAGCCACTTCCTTCCGCCTCTGCTTTCTTCCGCGCCCGGCACCAGCGCATCCTGTTTTCGTTGGCTGCACTCTGATGGCGGTCCCTGCCGGAGCTCTGTCCAGTGCGTAGGGCCGGTCCTCGCTCGGCACCGGGAGGGCTTGGCGCCCCCCTCCTTTGTCCTCTTGTCAAGCCTGCACATCGTCTCCCAGGGCGCAGAACTTCTGGTGACCGGCAGCATGGGCCGGGAGTCTCGGTGAGTCCTCGGGTGAGCGGTTTCTTGGGCTCCGAGAGGAGCGGGTGGAGGTGGCGGCGCGGCGGGTGTGGGGCGGCCCCACGTGTGGCCGCTGAGGAGCTGGTCACCTCGGCTGCGAGGAGGCGCTGCTGGCGCGCACGGCCGCAGAGTCCCCTGTACTTGCCGCAGCCGAGTCGTGCCCTGACCTGGAGCAGCCTTCCGCTGCTCAGGCCGCTCCGTCACCGACGAGCAGCCTCGTCAACCTCCCTCAGCCCTGACCCCGGCTCACACTCCCTCATCGCTTCGCCTTTGCAACATTGCTTACTCCACTCTATAGTTTGCTTTCGTGCGCGCGTCGTCTTCCTAAGTCATTTAAAAGGAGCGGGTGGGCAGACTTTTTTTTTTTAACCGCACCTGCAATATGTGTACGACCGACTCTTATTGGGTTGCAGTAAACACTTGTTTCATGGGCATTTACTTCACAGATAGATTCCGTATTACTTTGTTACCCGCTTCTTGTCTTTTAGAAACCGTTCACTTGCGCACCTTATTATAACTGTAATTATAATTACACGGTATTTTCAGAACTTTAGGGTGTCGATAACAGGTTCAAGACCTTGAGGTTATTATTATTATCTTGAAAGATGACTGAAATGTGTGTAGCCGGTCTGACAGATATTTTGATTCAGTGCCTAGGGAGGATGACAGTTTTGCATTGATTTAGTGCTAACATCACTTTAGTGGGGTCGTCATGACTTAGGTTCAGGAACACGAGCAAAGTGTGAGTGGAGCATCTTGAAGTTCTGCGAACATAAAAGCCTGTAGCGTCATCCAGATAAAGGCAAAGGCTTACCACCTTGACTACAGTCAGTTCAGGTGACTGTCTTTTAAGTTTCCCCGAAGACGCTGTTCTTTATCTGGCTACCTAGACCAGAAATCTGGAAGCAATATTTGGCCTCGCCCACGCTGCTCATTTCTAGTTAGATTCTGCACTGTTTTCCCATTCCTGATCTCTGACTTTTGTTTTTTCGCGACATGGTTTCTTTGTGTAACTTTGGGGCTTGTCCTGGAACTCAGCCTGTCTTGACCAGCCTGGCCTTGAACTCAAAGAAACCGCTTGCCTCTGCCTCCCTAGTGCCGGGACTAAAAGGTGTGCACCATCACTGCCAGGCTCCTGAATTGCCTTTCTTGATCTTGCCGTTATAAGTATTATATTTGTATTGCTGGAACCAGAGTGACATTTCAAAAATAACGGTAAGAACTTGCCATTTTTTGCCTTAGTTTCCACTGGATCTCTAAAGATGAAATTCTGGCTCCCCAGACCTTTCCTACAAAGGTCCATTTCACCCATTTTACCTTTATACTGTTATTTTTATGCCGTACTTGGCTGATGTTCTTGTTTGTTCAGGGAACAATGGTGGCTCAGAGGTGAGGAAGAGCAGGGTATTTGAGAAACAGCCCCAAAGCTCAGTTTTTGTACATACAGAGCTTTCATGAAGGATTGGAGGGAGGTAGAAGGAGGTAGATCCTGAGAAGGCCCAGAAAGTGAATGCATTCACTCATGTGAATGGCAGCCTCTTGAGGAAGCTGCTGCGAGTTGATCTCGGGGCCTCACACATGTCAGGCGTGGACCACACAGCCTGTGCCCCCAGCATAGCCTCAGTTTTCTGCTTATTCTGCTCAAATATAAAGAAATCTAGCTCTTCCTGGTGCCCTCCTACTTGACATTCAATTCTTCATTAAATCTAGTCAGTGCTAGTGCTGTGGGCTTTTGTGTTTTTGTTTTCTTTTCAGATCTTGATATTTCTCATCACTTCTGTCACTGTCTCTTAACCTGGATGGTTAAATGGGTCTCCCCCCCAATCTCCTTCCTTCCTTCCTTCCTTCCTTCCTTCCTTCCTTCCTTCCTTCTTTCTCTCCTTCTTTCAACAGGGTTTCTTTGTGTAATCCTGACTGTTGTTGAACTCACTGATGTTTGCCTGCTTCTGCCTCCCACGTCCTGTGTTTAAAGGTGTGTGCCACCAATGCCTGGCTTAAATTTTTTTAAACTTTTTTTTTTTTTTCCGACATATGGTTTCTCTGTATAACTGACTGTCCTGGAACTCTCTTTGCAGACCAGGCTGTTCTCGAACTCGCTGAGATCTGCCTTCTTCTGCCTCCCAAGTGTTGGGATTAAAGGCGTTTGTCACCTCCTTCCAGCTTAATAGTATCTATTTTCTTGTAAGAAAATCTATTCAAGGGTCTGGAGAGATGGTTCAGTGTTTGAAAGCACCTATTTTTCATTCAGAGGACCTAGATTCAATTCTAGCACCCACATGGCTCTCAGATGCCTGTAACGCCAGTTCTGGGAGATCTGATTTCTCTTTCTGGTTGCATAGGTATCTGCACAGATGGGATGTACTCACATATACTGAGGCACATGCATATACACATACATAAATTAGAAGTATTCATTGGAAGTGGGAGCATGCTGGTCTTAACCTGCTTGATATACGTGATCTTTCCTCAGTCTTAGTAGCTGGCACTGAAGGTGTCTGCCACTGTTTGTGGTCCAGTAGCTTCCATCTTACTCAATAAAAGATGTAACCATTGTAAGACCCTCTGAAGCTCTCTATATTTGACTACTTCGTTATTTCTCTGATCTTGTGCCAGATTGTGCTGATCTTGAGTAGTTTTTTTTTTTTCTTTTTTCTTCTCTTTGAGACAGAGTCTCCTTATGTAGTCCTGGTTGGACTGGAACTGATGCTGCCTGTTTCTGCCTCCTGGTTGTTGGGATTAAGCTGTGGGCTGCTACCCCTAGTCTACTGTCCTAACTTTTTAAACTGTATTCCTTGCTGCTGTTTCTTCATGTGCCAGTCCAGATTCCTTCCCTTGAGTTTACTTTTGTGCCATTTGCCCAGAAGGTCTCCGCTGTATGTCTACATGATTCCTGCTTTTATTTCCTTCAAGGGTCTCTAAAAATGTTACTTTATTAGTGAGCTTCTCAAGTTGTCTGATATAAAATGTTGGGGACTAGCCTCGACAAGATACTACTTGTCAGGGTAGGGGGGGTGGGGATCAGAAATATAAGTAAAGAGTATGAAGGTGCAAAAATAATAAAACAAGACCATAAAATAGCACTGGGAGGGGGTTTTAGTGAATATTAAAATCACTGTATTTAATTTTCTATACACTTTTATACCCAACACCAAGGGTGGGGGGTGGGGGAGGCAACAAAAGACTTAACTTGATACAAAGGACAACTCAACAGTTAGTGTTTTAACACTTTGAGACATTAAGTCATTAGCATTTTGTTGTTTAGGCAGTGAAGCCACCATAGACCAAGTGTCCTGAAGGCAGCCACTCCCAATGTCGTACCTCCTATTCACTTTCTTTTATTCTGAGCAGGTTTTCTCCAGTGCAGTACTTGACATGGCTCCCTTCTTCACTTGCCTGTCATCTCTTCTTTTCCTGAATATAAGCTCCTCTGAAGAGCTGCTGGTGTTTTTAGCTACTGAGCCACCACTCCAGCCTTTTTGGCAGGGTTTTATGTTGTAGCCCAGACTTCAAACCGTGACCTCAAACCCATAGTGATCCTCCTGCCTCATCCTCCCAAGTGCTGCGCATGAGGTACTGTGTGTGGCATCCTTTCGAGGCTTCCTCTACACATGTACTGTGACGTAGTTTTCTCCTAATTAAACATGTATTTAATTTGCTACACATAGAAGTAAAATACAAGCTGCTTGCTAAGCTTACTCTTTGGTTTGGTACAATTCTAGTCACTACCGCAAACGATCGGCATCACGAGGACGTTCTGGAAGTCGGTCTAGGAGTCGCTCACCCTCTGACAAAAGAAGTAAACGTGGAGATGACAGACGCTCTCGGAGTAGAGACAGAGACAGAAGGAGAGAGAGGTCTCGCAGCAGGGACAAAAGAAGATCACGGTCCAGGGACAGGAAGCGCCTGAGGTAAGACATTTTTCTCTGAAGATCACTGGTTCCAGACAGATGGGAACAATTAAAACGAGACAGTTTCGTATTCTGTGTTCACAGACAGTTTCCCACATTCAGTCAATACATGTTAACTGAATTGATCGTTTAACTTTTGTTTTGTTTTAGAGACAGGATTTCTCTTTAGCTTTGGAGCCTGCCTTACAACTAGCTCTTGTAGACCAGGCTGGCCTTGAACTCACAGAGATCCACCTGCCTCTGCCTCCCGAGTGCTGGGATTAAAGGGGTACACCATCACTGAATGACCTTTTTTGGTTTTTTGAGACAGGGTTTCTTCGTAGCTTTAGAGCCTGTCCTGGAACTTACTCTCCTCTATAGACCAGACTGGCCTTGAACTCACAAAGATCTGCCTGTCTCTGCCTCCCAAGTACTGGGATTAAAGGCATGTGCCACCACTGCCTGGCTGATCTTTGAGTTTTTATGTGAAAATAAAATTGTAAGATTTTCAATCAAGAACTTTGAAACTGGGCATGGTTGTATATGCCTTTAATCTGAGCACTAGGGAATCAAAGCAGATGGATCTCTTATGTTCCAAGCTAGTGCAATCAAAAAAAAAAAAAAGAGAGAGAGAGATTATATAGTGAATTCTCCATATTTTCTAGTTGAGGAAATGGCGGTGCATGGAGTTGGGGTACACGTAGTGACTAGCAGCTCACTGGTCTTTTAGCAGTTTCTGTGCATCTTCTTGCTGGGCTCAAGCTTCCCCTGCTACTGGGGTTAAGGTCTTGCACAGCTCATCGAGTGCCCCAGAGCTGTGCTGCAACCCCAGCTGTGTGCTGTTCGTGAAAATTGACTTTGCTATAGATGGTGGGTTTAAAGTGTTTATTGTTACAACTTGTTATGTTCATTAGCAGATGTCATTGTTTCCTCACGTTTCCATTGATCTTTGTAAGAACTAGCCTCACTTGTGTCCTGTTTAGCTGAATTGAGAATGCTGCTCTAATGTTGATCCTAATTTTAAGAAACTGTTTTCAGTTTGGGACAGCCATAATCTGAAATAATAGCTCCCTTTGGCCACAAAACAAATGAAATCTCTCCTTTTCAGGCGCTCCAGAAGTAGAGAGCGAGACAGAAGCCGAGAGCGAAGAAGATCTCGGAGCCGAGATAGGAGACGCTCAAGGAGTAGAAGCCGGGGCCGGCGATCCCGGTCCTCCAGTCCTGGCAGCAAAAGCAAGAAGGCTGAGAATAGGTAACATTGTCACTGACCCTATCTGCTATATAATTGTACAGTTCATCCTTATCAGTAATGCAGAGCCTGACTCTTGCTATCAACTGTTGGCAGAACTTTTATTTATTAGGTCATGGGGCTTATAATTCAGCTGGAGATTAGTGGATTCTGCTCGTTTTAAACACTACATTGTACCCTTATTTAGTATATATTATTAATGGTGAGAACTTTTGTAAATATCTCTGTAGGAACTGAGTGTCTTTTGTGGAGACAGTGATGAGTATTGAAGTGGGCGTGCTGGCTGCCAGCTTGGCAAGCCCTCGGTATTTATTACATCTTTGGCATCAGTTTCTGTGCCTTGGAGATTGCTTTCTCAGACAGTTAAGATGTTTGTTGACAACTTTTTAAAGATTCGTATATTCCTATATACTTGTGTAGGTGTGTGTGCACGAGCCTAGGTGCCAGTGGAGGCAGGAGGTCTCCTGCTGGGGGTGCGGGAAATAGTGCTCCTTTGCAAGAGCAGGTAGTGGACTTAATCACCGAGTCAGCTCGTGCTATACCTTATTGAACTGCTATTTGGAAAGTGTGGCCTTTGCTTGTTTAAGTTAATTGTGTGTGTGTCGTGACACTGGTAACACTCAGTTGAAATGCTCTTGTCAGTCCTGTGTGCTTGCTCTTCACAGTCTCCTGCCATGCCACTGCTTCTTCCCTGCAGCCAGGAAGTGGGTGTGTTGGCTCTTTCTTGTTTCCCATTCCCGTTTCATTCAGTTATTGCTACCTCTCCCATATTATTTGTTTTACTTTAGAAGTTGTATTTTGATTTTACCAAGGCCAGTACAATACTTTTGGGATTTCGTGAAATAAAAAATAAACCTTAGTTCTAGAAGTCAAGAGACAGAGGTAAGTGGGGATCTCTGAGTTTGAGATCAGTCTGGTCTATATAAAGTTCAGAACAACCAGGGCTCTCTAGAGACAGCCTGTCTGTTGCAAAATGGAGCTGTGGGCCGCTTCCCGCCGCCCGGATTCTGGCTAGCTTACCCTCGAAATAATTACACGGAAACTATTCTTTTAAACACTGCCTGGCCCATTAGTTTCAGCCTCTTAACTGGCTATTTCTCACATCTTGCTTTAACCCATATTTAGTAATCTGTGTAGCACCACGTGACTTACCGGGAAAGATCCTAACCTGCAACCTCCATCTGTCTCGGAGAGGAGAGTCATGGCGATTGCCTCACTGCCTTCTTCCTCCCAGCATTCTGTTCTGTCTACTCCGCCTACCTAATTTTCTGTCCTATCAAAGGGCCAAGGCAGTTTCTTTATTAACCAATGAAAGTAACACATAGAAAAACAAAGCACACAAAAAAAGAAAGTAAGATGGAGGACTTATGGAGTACTAAATTTTATCTCTTCATGTGGATGAGTGCTTTGCCTGCACATGTGTCTGTATAGTGTGTGCCGTCTGAGAAGAGTGTGCAGAATTCCTTCAAAAGGAAACTATAGATGGTTGTGTGCCGACATGCAGGTGGGCTCAACCAGAGTCCTAGAAGAGCAGTCAGTGCTTTCCGCCACCAAGCGATCTCTCTAGCCCCTGCTTTATCTCTTGACCATGGTTATGGGAATGTGTATATCTGTGGTACAATGATTTCAAATTAATATTCCATTCCCTTGTCCTACCTTATTTTTTTATATTGAGAGAGGACCATGCTGTGCAGTCTTGGTGGCCTCTGCCACCGAGGATTATTGATCTTTCACTCTCTTAGCATTCTGTCTTCCTGGATGAAGCCTCTACTGACCTTTTCTTTATTGTTTACCACCTGTGTGTTTATCTTAGGCTGCTTGGTTTTTAGCTTCGTGTGAATGGAGTCCTGTGTAGGAAAATTAGTTTAACATTAGAAAATCGGTGTGATATTCTGTATATTAGTAATTTTAAGGAGAAAAGTCATTTAATTCAGAAAGAGTTTTTTTTTTTCTCTCTATTTCTATTTTTCTTTCTTTTTCCTGAGACAGTGCTGGATTGAGGCACATGCCACCACTTCCAAGCTTTCTTTTTCTTAATGTGGGGATTGTGTGTGTGTGTTGTATATGTTCATGTGTGTATACTTGCCTGTGTATGCATATGTGAAAAATTGTATTTCCTCAAATGTCTTATTTATTTTTTAAGATTTATTTATTATATATAGTGTTCAGCCTGTGTGTACGCCTGCACACCAGAAGAGGGCACCAGATTTCATTACAGATGGATGTGAGCCTCTGTGTGATGCTGGGAAATGAACTCAGGACCGTTTAGAAGCTCAGCCACTGCTCTTAACCTCTGAGCCATCTCTCCAGCCCTCTATCTTTTTTTTTTTTTTTTTTAAGATTTATTTATTAAGTATACAGTGTTCTGTCTGTCTGTATGCTTTTAGGCCAGAAGAGGGCACCAGATCTCATTACAGATGGTGGTGAGCCACCATGTGGTTGCTGGGAATTGAACTCAGGACCTCTGGAAGAACAGTCAGTGCTTTTAACCTCTGAGCCATCTCTCCAGCCCATCATCATCTTTTTTTTTTTTTTTAATTTATTTATTTATTTATTATGTATACAATATTCTGTCTGTGTGTCTGCCTGCAGGCCAGAAGAGGGCATCAGATCTCATTTCAGATGGTTGTAAGCCACCATGTGGTTGCTGGGAATTGAACTTGGGACCTTTGGAAGAGCAGGCAATGCTCTTAACCTCCGAGCCATCTCTCCAGCCCCATCATCATCTTTTTTTTTAAAAAAAAAAAAAAAAAAGAGAGAGCGTGTTTCCTGAATGTGCCATGGAGGTTTTCAGTGAATTCCCGGGAAACTAATCTCGTGCCTAACTTTCCCTGAGAGTTGTGGACCCATATTCAGGATCTCAGGCCTGAGTAACAAGCAGCAATTTCCCACTGAGCTGTCTCTCCACCCACTTTATTAAATTTAACATATCTATGTTTTTAAACTTCTTAGCAGATGTGAATAGAAGGATATTTTACAAACTAATTGTAAGACTAGAAATAGGGCTTGGAAGCAATGGCCGTTGGTACTCATACTTGAGATTTTAGCCTAACTCCAAGCCCTCAGGTTAATAAAGTTAGGGCATGGTCTGCACTTGGAATCCCAGAGATGGGTAGGAGACAGGCTTGCCAGTGGGTCTTGCTGGCCAGCCAGTTTAGCCCAAATCACCCAACTCCTGGCCAGTGAGAGACCCTGTCTCAACAAATAAGGTTGACAGCTTCTAAGGAATGCTATCCCAGATTGTCCTTTAGACTCTGTTACACACATGCATGCACACGACACGTGTACAAACATCCCTATCCTCACGAACATACACATTAGAAATGCAAAAGACAAATTACATGGCAAAAAAAATTAGCTGGTCCATCTTACAGAGTTTTGTTGGAAAATGTCTTTTCATCTCTGATATGTTTGTCAAATTTGAAAGGCTATCCAGAAATTACTCAGAAACACCAGTCATGAGCAGAACAGGAGAGATCGGGTATTTGAGTTTTAGGTATGTGAATCTTTTGCCTGCATATGTGTCTGGATTCCTGCATACAGAACCTGCACAGACCAGGAGAGTCCCACTTCAGCTGGTGTCACTTCATGTGGCTGCTGGGAACTGAATTTGGGTCTTTTTCAAGAACATAGTGCACCTTACAGCTGAGCCAACTCGTTAGCCTGATGTCAATTAATTTTTATATCATTAAAATAAAGCCATTTTGTTACTAGAGGCATAGGTCAAATTTTAAATCCATTGTGATTGTATTATTACATAGATGAATTACTAAAATTTTGCAATCCTGTCTAAGTTTTGTAATTGGTTTTCTTAGACAAATTTCCTAATGTTTAGTAATGTTTTCTATTAGTGTTGAAAGATTACTTTCCTCATATGCCAGGTATTTTTTGTTGGACTATGACAATATGCTGATTATTGGAGAAATAAGAAAATGAGATCCAAGTCTGTTAAATAGTCTTAAGTGAGTATTGCAGGACCTTCAGCTGGCTCAGTGGTAAAGATGCTGCTGAGGTTGAGCTGACTTTGGTCCCTCATTGCCAATGGAGGAGAGTCCTGACTTCTGCCTCCACGGGCATTGTCACACATACACATTCCTAAATGTATGTCATAAAGTGAAGAAGAAATGGTGCTTGTGTTTCCCAGTACCGGTATCTTACTCTCTTTTGTTCTTTGGTAGGTCTAGATCCAAAGAGAAAGCAGACGGTGGGGACAGTTCTAAAGAGAAGAAAAAGGACAAAGACGACAAGGAAGATGAGAAGGAGAAGGATGCTGGGGTATGTTCAGCTTGGAACAGATCTACAATGGCAGTCTTGTTTTCACAACAGACCAGGCTGGCCTTGAACTCACAGAGATCCTCCTGCCTCTGCCTCGTGGGTACTGGGATTAAAGACGTGTGGTACCACCACCACCCATTGAAAAAATTTATTTTTTCCAAATTGGCTGAGCGCATTTATTTATTTATTTATTATTTGTTTGTTTATATATTTATCGGTCTTCTGCCTGCATGTATGTTTGCAAGCCAGAAAAGGGCACAAAACCTCATTAGAGATGGTTGTGAGCCACCGTGTGGTTGCTGGGAATTGAACTCAGGACCTTTGGAACAGCAGGCAAACTGTTCTTAACCACTGAGCTCCCCAGGCAAATCATCGTTTCTTCTTTTAATTCTTCCTTTTTTTTTTTCCTCAAAAACAGGGTTTCTCTGTAGCTTTGGAGCCTGTCCTGGAACTAGCTCTTGTAGACCAGACTGTCCTCAAACTCACAGAGATCCTCCTGCCTCTGCCTCCTGAGTGCTGGGATTAAAGGTGTGTGCCACCACCGCCTGCTGATAATTATTTAATGATACTCTTTTCCTTTAGTTTTGCTTTTAAGTAATTTATAACAGTAATATAAAATAAGCAGATAAAAGTCTTGAAGAATCCTTCTGAAAATGTTGCATATTTATGTTACTTGTTTTTACTTAGAAAATGTGATCAATCTATATAAAAAGTATCAAATTAGCCTAAAAACTATATACAGATTTTAGGCATCTGGGACCAGCACAGTGGTTTAGCTGGAAAAGCAGTTACTAGGGAAGCCTAGACCTGAGTTTGAATGAAACCCATGTGAAGGTGGGAAGAAAGGCAGATGGCACGCTGTCTGCTGCACCCATGCTGTGATGTGTGCAGCCCGCGGTCATGCGTTTGTAAATAAATCAAAATGAAAACGGTTAAGGCACACAACAGTGTGCTTTCCTTTCTCATATCCTTGCCAAGGTTGGGATGTCTTTTTTTTTTATTTAAATTAGCTGGCCTCTTATTGGCTCTAGCCATTAGCTCTAGCCTCTTATTGGCTAACACTTACATCTTGGTTTAACCCATTTCTATTAATTTGTATGTCACCACAAGGTTGTGGCTTACTGGGAAAGATTCAGCATGTCTGACCTGGCCGCTCCATGTTGGCTCTCTGTTTGCCCTTCTTCCCAGCATCCAGTTCTGTCTTCTCTGCCTACCTAATTGCTGCCCTATCAAAAGGCCAAGGCAGTTGGGATATCATTTTTATCAGTCTAATAGGACATAATAATTTTTTTAAAAGATTCATTTATTTATTAAGCATACAATGTACTATTGGCAAGGAAGGCACCAGGTCTCATTACAGATGGTTGTGAGCCACCATGTGGTTGCTGGGAATTGAACTCGGGACCTCTGGAAGAGCAGCCAGTGCTCTTACCCCCTGAGCCATCTCTCCAGCCCCAGGACATAATAATTGTATGGATGTAGTTGGAACTTTCTTTGAGTCACTAGCTCACAGATAATAGCACAGAGACTTACTAACTAGGAAAGCTTCGCCTTAGCGTAGGCTTTTTCCCTAAGTGGCTCTTCTATCTCAAATTAACTTGTTTCCTCTAGTTACCTATGTTCTGTCACCTGCCTTGGTTACCTCTCCTCTGTACATAATGCCCAACTTTCAGTGTCTCATTGCTGTCCTGTCCCTCTCAGAAGTCCTGCCTATTCTCTCCTGCCTAGCTATTGGCCATTCAGCTCTTTATTAAAGTAGTCAGAAGGCCCTTTTGGCTGAGACACATCTTTACAGTATACAAAAAGATTATCCCACAACATGTTTTTTTTAAATTTTGGATTATTATTTTATATTATGAGTATTGTGTGTGTGTGTGTGTGTGTGTGTGTGTGTGTCTGTGTACTACTTGTGTGCCTGCTGCCTGCATAGGCCAGAATAGGGTGCCAGATCTTTAGGAACTGGTGCTAACTTGATGGTTATAAACCGTCGTGTAGATGCTGGGAGTCAAACTTGAGCCTCCTGGAAGAGCAGTCATTGCTCTTAACTGCTGAACTAACTCTCTAGTCTCATATATTATATTTCTTTATTGAAAGTACCTTTTGTATGACTCTTCCTGTTCTCTCTTTCCATCACTCCTTCCCTCACTGCCTTTCTTTCTCAGGGTCTTGCTGTTTATTGCTCAGACTGGCCTGGAACCAACCCTAGCCTTCTGCGGTTACAGGTGCTAATGACCAGGTCTGACTTTGTGATTCCAAAATTATATTACGCTTTGTGGGGGTTACACACATGGCATGCCATGGCACAAGTGTAGCCTTCAAGTTATCTTTTAAGAATTGATTGTCTTCTTCCACTGTATGAGTTATCCATATTGAACTGAAATGATCATTCTTGTTAACAGGTGTCTTTATCTCCTGAGCCATCCCACTGACCTTGCTTTTAATATAATAGGAGGATTAATTATAAAGATGGGTGATTACTAAATCTGATTTGCATTTAGCAATGTATACACACATCCATTTTTCTTTTTTTATACTTTTGAGAACTTATTAAAAACCTACCTAATGTGAGCCATGCAGTGGTGGCACACGCCTTTAATCCCAACACTTGGGAGGAAGAGGCAGGTGGGTTCGAGGCCAGCCTGGTCTACAGAGTAAGTTCTAGGAAAGACATCGTAGCTACTGAGAAACCCTGTTTCAGAAATAAACAAAACAAACAAAAATCTCATGTGGAGTACACTTGCTAATTCTGATTTTGATTTTCCCCTCTTTTTTGTCTTTCTTTTTCTCTTTCCCTCCCCAAAGAACTTTGACCAGAATAAGCTGGAGGAAGAAATGAGAAAACGAAAAGAAAGAGTTGAAAAATGGCGAGAAGAACAGCGTAAAAAGGCCATGGAAAACATAGGGGAATTGAAGAAGGAAATTGAGGAAATGAAACAAGGGAAAAAGTGGAGTTTAGAAGATGATGATGGTATATTTGGGAAGGGGGTTCGTTTTTAAAATTGTGGAAAATATGCACAATGTTGTATTTACATTTTAACATTTTTGCCCGTACCCCCGTACAGAGAGAGGGTCAAAGCCAGGGCTTTCAATGTGTTTACCTAATGCTCTAGCCCTGAACTAGTTCCCTAGGTCCACTTTCACCCTCTCCGGCACAGAATGGTAAGTCTGGTTATTCGTGGTACATTCAGTGCTGCGTAGCCCTCATCACTGTCCATTTCCAGAGCTCTCTAATCATCCCGTGTTCCTCCATGTGCAGCCGTGCTATTGGTGTTTTCTTGTGTCTGACATTTTAGTTTATCATATTGTCTTGAAGTTTCATTCATATTGAAGTTATTACTCTACTTCTGCATGGCTGAGTATATGTACATGACATGGTCTCTCTATATTATCCCCCGATGGCCTAGAATTTTCTGTATCAACCAGACTGGCCTTGAACTCTGCCTTCCAAGTGCTGCAATTGAAAGTGTGGCCATTATTCCTGGAAATATTTTCTTTTCCTGTTTAAGACAGGCTTCCTCTTACTAACCTTGGCAGGCCTTGAGTTTGTGATTCTCCTCCTTCAGTTTCCCAAGCGTTGGGACTGTGCACCGGGCTGGTTTGTCTCCTCACTGTGATTCTCCTCCTTCAGTCTCCCAAACGTTGGGACTGTGCACCGGGCTGGTTTATCTCCTCACTGTGATTCTCCTCCTTCAGTCTCCCAAACGTTGGGACTGTGCGCCGGGCTGGTTTATCTCCTCACTGTCTATTGATGCTTGAGTTGTTTGCACAGAAATATTTGACTTTCTTTTACAACTTTTGGGTTTTTTTTTTCTTTTTCTTTTTTGGTAATTCTTTGTACCTAGAGGTAGATTTTCTGGATTCCTACTAAGCTAAGGTTAGTGTAGTTTTAGTCATAGGGTCTCACTGCTGTTGTAGCCAGCCTGGAGCTTCTGTACTCAAGTGACTCTTCTCTTAATGCCCTGAGTAGTGCTTGGGACTCTAGGGGTAAGTCACTGTGCCTGGCCATACTGAGGTTTTTAAAGACCTCCTTCAATTACAGAGTTGCATCCAGTAAGAATTACTGATTTTACTTCAGAACACACGGCTGTCACTTGCAGAGTTAGTAGATGACACTAGAGTATTTGTCCTCAGTGCAGCTGTTAATGAGAGTAAATGTCCCCTCACGGTTCCCCATCATCCAGAACTCCAGCCAGGAATCCAGCCCGCTCTTCTGCTCTGTGAGAGCAGAGCACCAAGGCACATACATGTATACATTCACATGTTTGTCTTTAAAAAGAGAAACACACTTCTAACATTTTATGATTTAGGAGAGAAACATTTCTCCTGCCTTGACTTGTGCTTCTGAGGCTTAAACTCAGGTCTTAGCAGGTGCTGTCAGCGCACTGCACTGCTGCAGTAATGGAGGTAATAGAACAGATGTGGCATATCTCCTCTTTAAAGCATAATTGTAAATGGGCTGGAGAGATGACTCAGAGGTTTAGGGCACTGGCTTCTCTTCCACAGTTTCTAAGTTCAATTCCCAGAAACCACTTGGCTCACAACCATCTGTAGTGAGATCAAATGACTTCTGTTGTTCAGAAGAAGATAGAGCTCTCATGTACATAAATGAATAAATCTTTTATAATTAATTATTGAATTATTTAAAATCATTAGTGTGTGCTTGTGTGTGACTGCATTTACACGCTTACACACGCATACACAGACACACACACACACACAGAGAGAGAGAGAGAGAGAGAGAGAGAGAGAGAGAGATCAGAGCACAGCTTTCAGGAGTCAGTTTTCCTTCCATCGTGGGACATGGACTGGGCCTCGGGTAGTCAGGCTTGTGCAGCACCAGCCTTTTCCCACTGAGCCTGTCACTGGCTGTGTATTTCCCTTTGAAATATGTGTACAAAGAAAATATGTTCTGCCGTTTTAGATGATGAAGATGATCCTGCAGAAGCTGAAAAGGAAGGAAATGAAATGGAGGGTGAGGAGTTAGATCCATTAGATGCCTACATGGAGGAAGTGAAAGAAGAAGTGAAGAAGTTTAACATGAGGAGTGTGAAAGGCGGTGCAGGCAATGAGAAGGTATGCGGCTAGCTGCTGGGAGAGCTGTCTTTATTGCTGTTGCTCTGTTGTAGGTTTGTTAGTGGGGATTCTTATGTCAAATGATCATAGGGCAAAAAAGTGGACAGTATTGCTGGGGTTGTTACGTGAAACCACGTGAGTCTGTTAAACAATCTTATTTAGGTATAAAATGGGGTAAACACTCACTGGTAGAGATTAGACTCCACCACAGCACCACAGCTGCTGTGTCCTGCTGTTCTGTCCAGGGGAGCTGGGGTCCATCCTCCTGAGCAAGAAAATGAGGTCGCACTCTTCCTCCCCATCAGCTTTTAAGGGTAACATACTCACTCAGACAAGGCCGTACCCTAGGGCTTGCTGCCCCAAGGTCATTGGCTAGATGGATCGAAATCCTGCCGTAGTGGTAGCAGCAAGCCTTTAATCTCAGCACTGGGAGGCAGAGGCAGGCAGATCCCTGAGTTTGAGACCAGCCTGATCTACAAAGTGAGTTCCAGGACAGCCAGTGCTACAGAGAAACCCTGTCTCTAAAAAGCAAAAAGCAAAAATAAACAAAAAATTGTTGTGTAAACTTACACGTATAAACTTATACGTATAAACTTACAGTTTTGTGTTTGTTGGTGTATCTATGAACTATTGTGGAGACACACTGACAAGTTCACACAAAACCAAAGCAAAACTTTCTTGGTCTTCTTAAAACATAAATCATGTTAATTTCAATTACATTTTGTAGGATTGAACATTGTCTTTTATCTGGTATCCACATGTTTTAAAATCTATTTTTTTTTTTTAACTTTTGCAAAGTATTGTAATCCTTTCTTATTTTAGAAGTCTGGGCCAACCGTCACCAAAGTGGTTACTGTCGTAACAACCAAAAAAGCAGTAGTGGATTCTGATAAGAAGAAGGGAGAGCTGATGGAGAATGACCAGGATGCCATGGAGGTGAGTCTTCAGTCTGACTTGTTATGAGCATGTCCTAAGAGCATTTATTGTAAACCGCCGGTGTTGATGTGCTTCATAGTTAGTTACACAGACCGCTACTAGGATACAATCTTGGTACTCTCAGTGTATAGCAGCCATGTAACTGTGTGTGTCCTACGTTTTCATTCTCTCTGCTTTATCAGCTCATCTCAAGCATCAGCAGAGAGAAAGTGAAGCAATAAAATGAATGGCATTTCTTCCTAGTAACCTTTAATGTAAAGGATTAGATAATGAAAACAACAGCAAAACCTCAGTGTCATTTCTGAGAATTATATGAGGTTTGTATTACTATTGAAACTTTGAATAAAGAAAAAAGATACTAAGTTGAAAACTTCTTTTGGTTTTTTTGAGACAGGGTTTCTCTGTAGCTTTTGGAGCCTGTCCTGGAACTAGCTTTCGTAGACCAGGTTGGCCTCGAACTCACAGAGATCCACCTGCCTCTGCCTCCCGAGTGCTGGGATTAAAGGTGTGTGCTACCACCGCCCAACTCTAAGTTGAAAACTTTTATTTATTTATTATTTAGTTATAAACTGATTGGCCCATTAGCTCAGACTTCTTATTAACTCTTAAAACTTATATAGCCCACTATTAGTCCATTATTCTTGTCTCTGTTAGCCACATGGCTCGGTACCTTTTTAGGCGAGACAGTCACATCTTGCTTGCTCTGTGGCTGGGTCAGGACTGCGGACTAGAACTTTCTTCTTCCCAAAATTCTCCTGTTCTCATTGACCCACCTCTACTTCCTGCCTGGCTACTTGCCAATCAGCGTTTTATTAAAATACAATTGACAGGGTACAAACTAGTGCCCCACAGCACTCCTACCCCAACCCCTCTTTTTTTTAAGGAACAAGAACTCTGAATCTAATATCCTTTGTTTAGCTTTTCTCTTGACCATTATCCGTACCAGCTTGTATCCAACATTCCAAACAAAGGAAAACATCCATAGTACGTTTTTTTGGGAATGTGGGCGTAGTTTTCCAGGCTACTTTCTGCTGCTGGGAGCACTGATAATCTTATTGGGGCCTAAAGAAAATTTATAATTATCATCAAATCATGACTGGAGTATCCTGTGAGGCTTGATCATCTCAGGCAGCAGTCTTGAATCTGTTCTGGATGTAGAACTCAGACATCTGGGCCGTCTGTTCCTATTGGAGATTTCTCAAATGGTCTTCCTTGATCAAACCTGATTTTTCTTAACTCAGAATAAATCCATAGCCTCTCATTTTCTGTGGAAACAAAAGCAAAACCTCTTCTTCAAAGTAACATATCTTTTTACTTCAATTTTGAAGTCAAGGCATTTATAAAATATTTGTTTTATTAATCTAGCAACATTTATATTTAAATGTCTTTTTAGCAGCTGTTGCTCCTTCCTCAGCTGTCAAGCAATTCAAAGACAACATAATAATATACAATATCCAGACTCTGTATTTTCCATCTTTACATTGCTTTAAATTCTATTTTATTTTTACTTTTAATTTTTGGCTTTTTGACACAGGGCTTCTCTGTGTATGTTTGGCTATCCTGGAATTCACTCTGTAGACCAGGTGGTTGTCCTTGAACTCACAGAGTTCTGCCTGCCTCTATCTTCCAAGTGTTGGGATTAAAGGTGCATGCCACCACAGCCAACTACTCTCTTTTTTATCCTAAGGACTTTAACCTTTTTCTTTTCTCTCCCATGCCTGTATATGTTTTTAACACACTGGAAGCCATTTAGAGCTTTTCTTTGTCTTTTAATCTCTCTTTATTGTATATCTCTTTTTTCTGCCCACATGATTCTTTAATTTGCTAAGCGATATGGCTTGGATTAAAGCCATGGCTTTGGTGGCCATTTCTTAGTTTTCTGAGATTCCAGCCTCATGGCGGAAATACTGGCTGTAGCCATGTTTTTTGCCACAACTCTGTGGCATTTCAAGGTCCCTACCAGCATGCAAGTTGCAGCAGTCTGCTCACAAACCACACTCAAACTCTCTGTAGCTGGACCTCCTGCCTGAAAGAGTGAGAGTTTGCACTGGTGGGATGGCCCAGAAAGCCGGCATCTTAAAATGGTGTGGGTTTTTTCCTGTTGTGTCTTAAAATCAAAAAGCATGCAGTCAACATTTTATCAACACCATTTAAGTGTTTCATGGCAGGACCTCTTAAAAGAGCTGCAAGGTTTTACAGCTAAAGCTAAGTCAGGAAGCCTTTCTTAAATGAGAGTGCTTGCCTCTAGCAAGCCGAGCCCACCTGAGAAAATGCTGCTATCAATAAGCTGTGCTTAACTCTATTGTTTTCAGTCTAGGATTACTTCCCAAGCTCTGTCAGGCTTTATGTGGATGCACTTGTCCACATGGGCGTCATTCTGTTGTCTGAGTTTTCTGTCCTGCCTGCTTCCCACATTCTTTAACTCCCAAAGAAATCACATAGTTTATAACATTAGTTATAAACTGATTAGCCCATTAGCTCAGGCTTCTTATCAACTCTTATAGCTTATATTAGCCCCCATTGTTCTTATCTATGTTAGCCATGTGGCTTGGCACCTTTTTTGGCCAGGCAGTCACATCTTGCTTGCTCTGTGGCTGGGTCAGGACTGCGAATTAGGACTTCCTACTTCCCAGAATTCTCCTGTTCTCCAGTTGAAAACTTTTTAAGGAGTTGATTTATCTATGTTAAAAATCATGGACATTCTTACTTGAGATTTTTAGGTTATGCAATCTTAATTTCGTGCCTAAGAAAGAGGAGGGCTTTGGCAACTGGGACTATTTTCTTCCAGAAGGGGAAATTAATAATGGACTTCCTTTTTTGTTCCTGAAAATTCAAGTATTCTTCAGAGGAGGAGGAAGTTGATCTTCAGACAGCCTTGACAGGCTACCAGACAAAACAGAGAAAACTTCTAGAACCAGTTGATCATGGAAAAATTGAGTATGAACCATTCAGAAAAAATTTTTATGTTGAAGTTCCAGAACTAGCAAAAATGTCTCAGGAGGGTAAGATGTTTCTGTTTGTTTGGTTGTGTTATGGTGGCCTCCGGGAGGGTGTGTTCTACTCTGCAGGGGTAGTGTGCATAGGCTTGGGAGTTGAAAGATCTTTTGGAAGTATCTTTAAAAAGAGCAAAATGGTAGAGTCACATGGTTGTTCTTAGGGGTGGAAGTACTGTCCTTGTCATATTCCAACAGAGTGTTTCTGTTGGCCCTGTTGGTGTGTGAGACAGTTGGTGTGACTGCCCACCATCAGTCCTCTGTAAATGCGATCTGGGAAGCTCCTGCAGGTGGTTGGGTTGTCTGTCATTTATTATTCTGTTACAGTTGAAGAAAACAGGAAAACCAAAGTGTTGAAACTGGGATATTTGCATTGTTCTTGATTTACTGCAGCAGTTGTTACTTGCTTTGTCTCTCTGAGCTTTAGTGTTTTTCTTGTAGCTCAGCTGTGGGATTTCTTTAGATAGCACTTAAACAAAGGTGAGGATGTTTGACCTTTGACCGCCTCGTGAACACAGCTGGGTGGTTCCAGTAGAAGAGTTTCTAACGGGCTTTGTTTTCCAGAGGTGAATGTGTTTCGATTGGAAATGGAGGGCATTACAGTTAAAGGAAAAGGTTGTCCCAAACCAATTAAGTCGTGGGTCCAGTGTGGAATTTCCATGAAGATACTAAACTCCCTCAAAAAGTAAGTGGTTGATGGTTATGTACAGTTTCCAGTGTCCTGCTACTCTCCATGTATCTCTGGATTTCAATTATACTCGTAACTTAAAATTTTCCTCTTAGGTGAAAGTTCCCATCCCAGGTAGTTGACTGTGCTAGGGAAATATTCTACTGTTGAGCTACATCTTAGCCCCAGGCTTTTAAAGAAATTTGTAAACGTCTTTAATGAGTTGTAATGTAAGTGTGGAGTTGACCAGTTGGAGTATGGGTTTGTGCAGCCATCTAATTATAGACATTTTCATCAATCTTCCCCGTCCTTTTTCAATCTTCCATCTCCTTCACCCTAGGCAGCCACTACTGCATTTCCCATGCCTGTAGTCTGGCCCCACTGGACAGTTGATACAGGTGGAATTACATAGTGTGTTGTCTTTTCTGACTGCTTTTTTTTTTTGTCCCTTGGTAAAATCACTATTTTCAGGGTTTCACACTGTGGAATTTCTTAGTGCTTCATTCTTTCATTGTCAGTTTAAAAAATTATTTATTTTAAAAACTGAAGTTTTTTGTTTGTTTTTCTCTTTATGTAGCCCTGGCTCTTCTGGAACTCAAAGTGTAGACAAGGTTGGCCTTGAACTCACAGATACTCCTGCCTTTGCCTCTTCAGTGCTGGGATTAAAGGTATTCACCACCGCGCTGACTTTTAAATATCTTCTTATTTGCTTTTCATTTGTATTTTATTTTGTGCCTGCATTCTTACTGGAGCACATGCACCATGGCTTGTGTGGATGGAGGTTAGAGGATAACTGGGGAGTCTGCTCTTTCTTCTACCTTGCAGATTCCACATATCTCCTCACGTTATCTGGCCTGCATGCAAACATTCACTAAGCCTTCATGCCAGCCCAGAAAGATGTAAACGGAGGCTTCTTTTGTTCTGCCCAGTCCTGAGGCCCTTTTAAAATAATCACTCAGAGGCTTAATATTATTACAAATTTTTTTTTTGCTTATTAGCTCAGGCTTATCATTAACTACCTCTTAGAACTAGTTAACCCATTTCCATTAGTCTGTATATTTTTTGTTTGTTTTGTTTTTCGAGATAGTGTTTCTTTGTGAAACAATCCTGACTGTCCTGAAACTCACTCTAGATCAGGCTTGCCTCAAACTCAGAGATCCTCCTGTCTCTGCCTCCTGAGTGCTGGGATTAAGCATGCACCACCACCACCTGGCCTTATTAGTCTATATTTTACATTGAGGCTTGTGACTTGTTACCTAACATCTTGCTTCCCTGGAGGCTGTTGGCAACTCTCTGCCTCTGCACTTCTTTTCCTTGTATCTCTGCTTGGATTTCCCACCTGGCTCCATTCTGCCTGGCTATTGACCACATTAGCTTCATTATTAACAAATGGTAATAAAACATATTCACAGTATACAGAAAGACATCGCCATAACACTTGGCTTTTTCTGCTGTCCATCAAATAATGTTTTATCAGGTGGATATTTCACATTTAGAAGAAGTAATGTTTGTGGTCCCCCGAGGGGAGTTAATGCTCATAATTCTTGTGTTCTTCTTGTTTCTTTTTAAGGCATGGCTATGAGAAGCCCACACCAATCCAAACTCAAGCAATTCCTGCTATAATGTCTGGACGAGATTTAATTGGCATTGCCAAGACAGGAAGTGGAAAAACCATTGCCTTTCTTTTGCCCATGTTTAGACACATCATGGATCAGAGATCTTTAGAAGAAGGAGAGGGGCCAATAGGTACAAGTCTTCTCATCACATCATTCTTAGATATGCTGTTGTTACTTCAGAAAGACCTGATTCTTGCAGTTATTAATTATGACAATAAAGATCTTTATGTGCATTTCCTTTATCAATATGGCAGTTTGGGGCTGATTTCCCCATACCAGCAGGTGGAATGAGAATCTTCAGAGCTCTGGAGTGACATCTTAAGAAGTACAAAAACAAGGCTGGCACAGCTCAGTTTTAAAACTGACCTGGCAGGTAGACCCCTCATGCATCTCTCTGTTTATTTATGTTGAGGTGTGCTCTCAGCCCTGAATTACTGCATTATAAACTCGGCATAGGAGAAGGAATAGTGTGCTTTCCCAGGTGTCCTTTGGCCTCCGAAGGCGAGAGTGCCAGGGTTTCACGTGGGATTACGTCTTCAGATTCAGATTTCTTTGCATTTTTGCAGTTACTACTTGCGTATTTGATTAGGGAAAATTACTCAGCTCTTTCTGTGGAAACACACGGCACGGTGCATTCTCTTTACCTCTCATAGCGACGTGCTTTGGGCAGCAGCTGTGGCTTCTGCAGCACAGAGTCACTTGATTCCCTTTGTTCTGTGATTTGCTGTTGAAAACTATGTTCTTTTCAAGTATTTTTCTGAGCTTTGAGTATGATGTTTAACTCTTATTTTCTTATAGCATGTTCTTAAGAATCTATTTGCCCTTTACCTTGGTTTCTGCCATTACTAAGTTTTTGAAACACAGTTTTCAGATTTCCATAAAGACCAAACATTTTTCACTGAGACATGGGCCATCTTGCAGAGGTCCACTTTAGTGTTTTGAAGCGTCTTCTGAAGGGTTGGGGTTAGCCTTTGACATATTTATCTTTTCAGCTGTCATCATGACTCCAACTCGAGAACTGGCTTTACAGATCACTAAAGAATGTAAGAAGTTTTCGAAGACCTTGGGACTCAGAGTGGTCTGTGTGTACGGAGGGACAGGAATCAGCGAGCAGGTAGTTAGAATAAACCACTCAACCTTTCTGTCTTTTTCAGATTGAATGTTCCAGTAAGTTAGGTAATTCTTTCATTTTATTGTTTGTATATAGGTAATTACCCTTAAAATCTTTTTTTTTTTGTTTTTTTTTTTTTTTTTTTTGTTTTTTGAGACAGGGTTTCTCGCTTTGGAGCCTGTCCTGGAATTAGCTCTTGTAGACCAGGCTGGTCTCGAACTCACAGAGATCCGCCTGCCTCTGCCTCCCAAGTCCTGGGATTAAAGGTGTGCGCCACCACCGCCTGGCTTTCCCTTAAAATCTTAAAGGGTATTTGGTGTGAAGTAATTATAAGAGTGAATTATGCACCTGTGGTGTGCCTGTAATTCCTACATTAGGAAGACCAGGAAGGAGGATTGCTAGCTTGAGGCCTTAGAACCATACAGAAAGACCCTATCCTGAGAAGGGTGTTTGTATGTGTGTAGATGGGGCATACCTGTAATCCCAGAATTCAGAAAGCAGAGGCAGGAAGACCACTGCAAGTTTGAAACTGGCTTCCTATACATAGCAAGTTCCAGGCCAGCCAGGTGTATGTGTCAAGACCTTATCTTATACCCTTGGCTCCTAAGAATGCGTGATGTCATGCCAGAAGCATATGTTCTGTAGAGACTAGGCATAACGTGGCTGAATTAATAAAGCCCTTACATATTTAAATCTCGATAATAGAGTTGAGCTTAAACATTCTTTCCGCAAAACACAAAAATTGATGGCTCTGTGATAAAAGATGGAACTTGATTGTGCTGATCATTTTGCCATGTGTATACCAACCAGAACACCTCATTCGTGTTTCTAAACTCCATTCTTTTTGGTGTGTGCTGCGGAGTATTGACCCAAGGACCTGATGAGTGCTAGACGCGAGTTTTGGTAGCAGTGAGCTATAGTTCCCTGCCTCCCATTACATGCACTTCATTGTTATTAATTGTTTCTCAAAACCTGGGGAATGAAGAAAAATAATAAATCTAATATAGAATTTTGAAGTCTTTTTTTCGTGGGGAGGTGCTGTTTCAGACAGGGTTTCTTTTTGTATCCCTGCCTGTCCTCTTTGCTGTGTTGCAGACCTGGCTTTGAACTCGCAGAGATCCATCTGCCTCTGAAGTGCTGGGCTTAAAGTGGTTCTTAGCATTAATATGTGCTATGCCTGAGAATGCATGTCTGTTTTTCCATTTTATAAGTGAAAAATTATGCAGAATGATGAAGTAAGTTGACCAACTAGGTTAATTAGAGCTGCAGTTTGCCTTAGGACAAGGTCCTGTAATTCCCAGACCAACAGTTTTTGTCTCTGATCCATGCTGGCTTCTTTAGAAGGTGCTAGCTAATGCTATGTGTTAGTGCTAGACTTTCGTCTTCGTTCATTATGATATGTAGCAAAATTTTAGGAAGCTTTGACTGTCTTTGATTTAGCATTTTCTCATGACAGGGTCTCTCTATGTAGCTCTGACTGTCTTTTGTGGACCAGGTTGGCCTTGAACTCAGAGATCTACCTGCCTCTGCCTCCCAGATGCTAGGATTAAAGACATGTGCCACCACACTTAGCAAGAAAGCGTATTTTAGAACTAGCATTGTATGAACATGCTTTGGGAATTTTTTGCTATTTTAAATATTTGAACTGTTTATTTTTGCCAGTTTACTTGACCATATAGCCTGGTTTACTTGACCATATAGCCTGTAGTAAGAAGTACATTTATAACTTTTTTTTTCTTTTGAGTTTTTGAGACAGGGTTTCTCTGAGAAAACTCTGGCTGTCTTGGACTTACTCTGTAGACCAGGTTGGACTTGAACTCAGAGAGATCCACCTGCTTCTGCCTTCCAAGTGCTGGAATTAAAGGTTCCACCACTTCCCCACTATAAAACAAATTGTGTTTATTTGTTTGTGACAGATCTCAGTTAGCCCAGGATGGCTCTGAACTTACTATATAGCCAAGGATGACCTTGATATTTCCACATGGGTCTTTCTTTTCCTATCTTCCAAGTACTGGGCTTACTTTCAGGCCTGTGTCATCATATCTGGCAGGAAAACAAAATACATCTTAGAGCCTTTGCAGTGAGAATGGGTTGAGCTTTTGCCACAGGGGCTTTAGGTTTTCACCAGACAGGCAGGCAAAGATGATGCTGCCAGGCTTACCTTAGCTTTGAGATCAGTGAAGCATCTCAGGGCCCTGTAATAAAAGAAACAAAAAAAGTTAAAACATTAACAGTAGTCTGCATGTGAGTGACTATGTTGGCTTTGTCAGCCTTAGTTCTATTGGAAAGGAACCATTACATTTTTTCCTTTTTTTGTTTATATTTTATAATTATACTTGTTTTTGTGTGCACACTTGTGCGTGTGTGTGCACGTGCGCGTCATGCATGTGTTTGAGTTTGCTTATGTGCTTGCCCACGTGCACATGCTGCAGCACTTGTGGTATAGTCAGAAGACGGATATAGGAGCCGGTTCTCTTCTTTTACCATGTAAGATCCTGGGCAATGAACCTAAGTTGTCATCCTGGCAGCAAGCACCTTTACCACAGCACATACTGCTAGCCCTATAATATACTTTCTTAAGTACCTAAAACACATATGGGAAGCAGTATGTCATCTGGAATATTTGCCACTCTTGCTGGTACTTGTACTATAGGAGATGACTTTCAGGCCAGCCAACATCCCAGAGCTGCAATTGCTTTAAGGCTGGAGAGATCATTCAGTGATTAAGAACACTGTCTGCTCTTCTACTAGAGGACTTGGGTTTGATTGCCAGTGCCCAAAGGTAACTCCCAACCATCTGTAACTCTAATTTCAGGAAGAGCCAGTGCCCTCTACTGGCCTCTGCTGGCATTGTATGTACGGGGTGCATAGACGTTCTTGCAGGCAAAACACTCATACACGCAAAATAAAGGGCAGAAGGAAAGAGAATGACAAGTGCATGCACCTGGTGCATCCATGTGTGTTTTTGTAGAGCTCAAGCAGAGCTTCCCGAGAGTCCAGTGTGCTGTTACTGTGTTTTCTATTGGTAAATCTGCTTGTGTGGCTTAATGTCATGGTTTCCTAAATTTGGAAAGCATTGATCTCTGTGTTAGAATATGTATTTTATTGTTTATTTTGACCTCTCATTCTTGGTTTTCGAGAAATGGTTGCAAATTAAAATTTGAGAAATTCTTGAGTTTCATTAGTTTCAAATTTCCGGCCTCAGTTGTCATCCTGATGCTCCCTGTCCTTCAGCTGGCAGCCCCAGGGCCACATGCCAGCCTCCAGTCTTGTACTCAGACTTTGTCTTACCTGCTAGAGCCACCAGTGGGTCAGCTGCTGTTTTCACATCTGTTGGAGAAGTCGTGATGACTATACTGTGACATTTCATCCTGTTTCATTAGATCGCTGAGCTGAAAAGAGGTGCTGAGATTATTGTTTGCACACCTGGTCGGATGATTGACATGTTAGCAGCTAACAGTGGTAAGTCACAAATATTTTTTAAAATTTGTTTTGTTTTCTTTTCCTTTTTAAACTTGACACATTTTTGTTAAAACAGATGTTGGAAACCAACAAATGGTTTCTATGTTTCTTCTTAAAGCTGTAATATCTTAAAGTGTGAATATTATTGTTGAAAGTGTTAGTTAAGTTTTGGCAGTTCAGTTTCTCTTCACAGCCAACATTGCAGTATCTTATAGCATTTAACTTGACTTTTCTTTTGGCTTATCTTTGCTTTTTAAAGGGGTGACATCATAGTTTTTATTATAAAATTCTCCACAGGAGTTAGTATTTTATAATAATAGACAAATTAAGTTATTGCAGCTTCAAGAAATGTGTCTTTTGTAAATATTGCATGTTTTTAGATCAAATGTTATGTTTTGTTAAAATACTCCCTATCAAAACTGATACTAAACTGTTGACATTATTTAACTTCTGTGGAGAAAGGCCCTGAGGATTTATAGACCTGGGCTTCCGAGACGGTAACCGTCAAAGGTAGGTGACTTAATGCTCTTTCCAACCTTGTGAGACTCTTGGCGGCTGGAGATTAGTGTGAACACTGTATATTTAGTTTTTGAAGAAACAGCTGGTTAGAGGTTTCCATTGCAGCGTTCAGACTATTGTAACTGTGTGTTGGAACCGAGAAGTGCATGTTTGTACTAGTGTCCGCCTAAGTTTGGGGTAAGCTTAATTCTCCCTGAGACTGTTTGAGGCCTTGTGTTTGTGTAGCAAGTGAAAGTTTGGGGATGAGTGCTGACTGTATAATTCCTTGTTTTTTCTCACTGTTATATTAATTAAACCTCCTGAACTTCATCTTGATTAATTTTACCTTTTTCCTTTGTTTGTCTTTTTTTGTTTATCTTTTAATAACTATTTTATACATATTTTTGCCAGGTGGTTGATTCTGCAGTTGATAGAAATGCTTACTGATCTTTGAGAAAGGATTTTCTGTATTTTTAGTTTTTAACTGGTTAAGAAGCCAGGACTGTTTATTAAATCAGTGGCAGCAATTAATAATTTACTGTATATCTTTGCATAGAAAAGTGTATTTATCTGTAATGCATTTGTTATTTAAAGTTTGTGTTCTATATTGTTCCCAGTGATTTTGAGCAGTTTATCAATGGTTTAACATGCCCATTTAAGGTGCTTCTAACTGTATGGTAGTAGGCTGTAAAGTGGCAGAGGCTCTCTGCCTCTGAAGTAGTTAGCACTGGAACCTGCTTTCCACACATACGCTGTAATCTCTAATATGTTTTTTTCTAGGTGATGCTGTCAGATAATGGCTGATGTGGCTCGATGCTTCATCTCAGTCTTAGTTTTATGATGTGTTTTGGAGAGGGCTGTTTTCTGAATTTTACAGGTTCTTCAGGCCCTATGATGGTATGCAAGAGACGAGTTTGACAAAATAAAGGGCCTCATGTACCCACTGTCAGAAAGTACTTGCCACTAGATTAAGACTTTTATACCAAAGTTTCTTTTCACTGTTTAAAGAAACCTAACCTTCCCCTCTGCTTAAGTCAGGCATTTTAGTTCCCTTTATGGTTTTTTTTAAAGTTCTTGGTTGTCATCATGAATTGTGACTGATAGTTAGTGCTTTTTTGTCTTTCTTTTTTCTTCTTACCTTAGGTCGGGTCACAAATCTCCGAAGAGTGACATATGTTGTTTTAGATGAAGCAGACAGAATGTTTGACATGGGGTTTGAACCACAGGTAATAATTCCATTTCTTTGTAATTTTAAAGGTTTATTCTACCTTTAATTGTGTGTATGGTGTATATCTATGTGGTGTGTGCACATCAATGCCGGTGCCTGCAGAGTCTGAAAATGTCAGCTCATCCTGGAGCTGAAGTCACAGGCAATTGTGCGCTGTTCCATGTGGGTGCTCGGTGGGTGCCTGGAACTGGACTTGGTCCTCTGAGAGCTGTCTCTCCAGCCCCTCACCGAGGCTCTTAAGGTTTTGAAGTGCAGAGGATTTGGTGACGCCTATGAGAATGAGATGTCTGCGTGGTCTGGGAAGGACAGCAGAAGCACAGTGGCTAACCTTTTGATTTATTTTCATACCTCCAAAGAGACATCATCTGCCATACACTACCATTGTATTTAGATTCAGAAACTGAACTCTCTTATCTATCTATCTATCTATCTATCTATCTATCTATCTATCTATCTAT